TCAAAATAGGGCAGCGACCAAAAAATTGTCTTTTTTGAGCTTTGTTTATCATTTTGGAATGTCAGGAAAATAATCTTTATCGTTGAATAAAGTCATACTTTTTACATAACTGATGTTGCCCGGTTTTAACCGCGAAAATGTCTATTGGACTATCAATAGTTAAGTGGGTTACCTGTGTCTCGCTCCCAGGCCTGCTTTTCCCGCCATACAATCATAAACAATACAGTTTTGCTGTTGCGTAGTTATCTGAAATKTTCTAACATATTTTGAATTAAAAATCGGTGTTTGGCAATGGATGKAACTAGAAAGCGTCGTCGTCAGACCTGCAGTAAATGTGGAAGACATTTTGSAAGTTCATGGATAWATCGGCACAGAGCGTCTTGTGGTAGATCGTCGAGTATCRATTGCAGTACGAACACAGAAGAAGACGCCATGATCAATACAACAAACGAGGGAAGGGATGTTGATATGAACAATGACTTCATTGATCAAGTAGGAACTGATCTCCTTGGTATCTCAACTGAAGCAATCACTTGCACAGGAATAACAATTTCCGAAGAATTAGCTGATCAATTACAAGATAGATTTGACATGAAAAGATTCGAAGAAGAGGATAGCGAGTTTTTCGAAGAAATCAACTTAGAAAACGAAATAGACTGTTCATCAGAGGATCAACCACAACTTCCATCGGAGCCACTAGTGGAGAGCTGGAGTGTGTCAGAGAATCTCGGAGAAATAGAGGAAGATTTCTGTGTCAATGACTGAAGGTCCAAGAAATTGTCAGAGCGAAATACCATGCCAGGAAAGTATACACATACATTATGCAAAAGTTGAGGTGTTAGTTTTGTGGCTGATGTTGTTTCTCTCTTCCTGGCAAAGTAAATATGCTGTAACTGACACTGCATTAACAATGCTTATCAAATTTCTATGTCGTTTTTTCTGGCTGTTGGGTGTTTTTGACAATACAATGGCAAGTGCAGCAAGGTTATTCCCCAATTCACACTACAAATTAAAAAAGGCGTTGGGAATGCTGAATGATGACTTCTTCAAGTATGTCRTATGTCYTAAGTGCAAATCATTGTACACATATGATGATTGTGTAGAGGTGCGTTGTGGACGAAAGGTTTCTTCAAGATGCAAATTTGTTGCTTGGCCAAACCATCCACACRGAAGTAAAAGAGGTACTATATAATATATAATATGTTTGTCATAGTTTCCATTTTGTGGTTTAGTTAGRATGAGGCTCTATATGATGTGGATAGTTTTACCACATGGCTTAGAGAGGCATTATGATGTCATATAATCCTTAGAGAGATACTGTTGTTGTGCTACTTTATTTACAATTCCCCTAATCATTTATGATAATTATAATACTTACTAATTTCTAATAATACATTGCTCACTTCCCATAATTCGTTTGTTTATTATTAATGTATTGAGCTAAATGATGTTTCTTTATAACATTTAACAGGCCCATGTGGAGAGTATCTGTTAAAAAGTGTCAGGGGTAGAGATAAAACTGTGCTGTATCCAAGAATGGTCTTTCCCTATAAATCACTAATAAGCAGTCTTCAAATGCATTTAAAAATTGTCAGCTGTGGAGGAATAAAGAAGCACCAAATATGATGTCAGACATTCACCATGGAAATGTTTGGAAGGAGTTGAGCTGTGATGGATTCCTCTCAAATCTGAATAGCCTGGCACTAGCGTTGAATGTTGATTGGTTTCAGCCACACAAACATTCACCGRGATCAGTGGGAGTCCTCTACATGGTTGTTCTTAATCTTCCCAGGGAAGAAAGATACAAACTGGAAAATGTCATAGTTGTAGGAATTCTGCCAGGACCAACAGAACCTAAATTAACAGCAAGTTTAGTTGATTAATTAAAGGTGCTGTGGACAGGAAAAAAGAAGTTTTCAATATGTAATTATGTGTTCCAGCAGCCAATTAAAGTTGGATTGATTTGTGTAACTTGTGATATACCTGCATCACGAAAAATTGGTGGCTTTATGGGTCACATGGCCAATCAAGGTTGCTCACGTTGCAA